TATATATATATATATATATATATATATATTTTTTAAATAATTTTAATTAGGTTCATCCTGATGAGTTCGATAAAATAAAAGTAATTGAGTCAAAGAAATTGAGTACATTGTAATGAAATAAAAAAAAAAAAGGCACAATCCCATAACAAATATAAATGTTGAGTTACAAAAGTCCTTCAGTCACTTCTTTCAACAAACAAGTAAGCGAAAACGAAAGGAACGATGCCTCCTACACCATTGCACCAACAACATCATGTTGGAGACTTAGAGATCTAGAGGAAAAAAAGAAGCATTTTAATTTCTCTCTTCGCTACATCTTTCGAGTGTTGGACTCTTGCGACACACCGATTAAAAGTCATTGTTTTTGAAAAAAAATCATTTTTTGATTAGGATTCCATTGTAATTTTTTTGACTTTTTAAGTATCAAATATGATATAAAAAACATAAATATATTGCATTATTTTTATTTATTAGAGATTAAAGTAATACTTGCAGTTAAATTGTACCCACCCTAAATCATATTCATGGCTTTGCCACTGGCTGTAATATTTTTTTTTTTGAATATAGACTTTTATATGAGTTTGTTGGTGGAATCATATTTTACATCTCCAAAATTTTAAGATTTTTTTTTTTTTATATTCTCAAAGATTAAATCCCCACACTTTAATTGTGCCTTGCTTTTTGAAGGTGTAAAAAAAAAGTAAAAAGTCTTAAATTTTTCGAAGTACAAAATGCAATTCGCCGAAGTTTGTCCAGCCCAAACTTGTAATACAATGGCTTTTTTGAAAATAGAGAATCTACGGAGAATTACATGAAATTTTTCCACAAAAAATTTTTTAAAGGCAAATTTCCTCAAAAAAAAAAAAAAAGTTAGCATCATGTTCCTGCTTATTGGACTTTCAAATGGTGTTAATAGAATTATAATAAAAAAATTTTTTGGTCATTTACTATTACAAGGGAAGAGGATGATTATGGGTATTCAAATTTTCGATTATCCATAAATTTTGATCTTATCCTACCTGACCTTATTGATCGGCTATTTGGTGTTTCACAAAAAATCAGATAGAAATACGAAACACTTATAAAATTTTCGTATTTCTACCATTCCCTATATATATTAATATGTGTGTATGTTAATCCTTAAAATTTAAAATCTACAAATTTAGAAACTCTAATGTTTTATTGATGTTTTATGGTTTTTTTGTTGTGTTTTATTGTAATTATTTATGTATTATCGAATTGTGTACTTTTTTTAGTGTTATTTGTTTATTGTATTAGTTAATTAGTGCAAGTTACCTTCTGTATCCGTGAAAGAGTTTAAAAGTTGTATGAAAAGTACAACTTCAACGAAGATCCAAATATTCCTGCGTCTCCAAGCAATTAATTATGTAGAAGAAACAGGCCAAACCACATCTTTTTCCATGCAATTAATTATGACATGAAACAAGTTTCCAGTCCGGCATAGTTCCAAACACCTTGCATGCATGCAAACACGTAAAAGAAACCCAAAATCGCCATTCATTGTTGAATCGTACAATCAATCCATCAATGCAACCTATTAAAATCTACAATTTTAAATATATAATTTCACAAAATGAGATAGAAGCCGTTAATCAAGTCGTCGGCAACACTAGATTAAAAAAAAACAAAGAGGTTTTTTGTTTTGCAAAATAAGTTAAAAATATTTCTAGTGTCAAAATTAATTTAATATATTTATTAGTCATACTAATTGACTAAACAAATTTTTTTATGTGATTTTGAGAAATTAACATCACCAAAAGAAATACAAAGTCCATCACAAATTTGGAGAATTTAGACATGCATGATGATGATGCCCGAGGTAGGCTTTTGTCATGGTATAACTAATTAAGAAAGCCATTGCTGGCCGCCAAAATGCGGAGAAGATATTTATTGCAACCCAACAGCTATTTTGCGATATCACTATTATTTGTTGTGATTGTTTAATAATAAATTATTAAATAAATTTTATTTTCTTAAATAATTATTATTTTTATATAAGATAGTAAACACCTTATGTAACAAAAATAGAGTAATTATGGCCATTTATTTATTATGAATAACTATATCATCTTTATATACTATTTTTTTTTTATCATCAACAGGCATGCATCAATATATATTACGAAAAAAAATTTAAATTACAGTCAAACAAAATGAAAGCTTTAAATTCGGGAAGGGGGGAGTCTAACCAATCCAACGGAAGAAAATTGGTTAGTTTAGCACCTGCCACCTAATGAGCAGCTCTATTATAGACTTAAAATTTATAAAACAATCTAAGGTTATGTAACCTAGCCAAAGATCTAATAACATATATGATAACTTTAAGGTCCCATGGAGGAGCTTCCTCATTAGAACTTAGCTTAATAATAAAAAGACAATCATTCATAATTGTGACTTTGGAGAGCAAATGGGCTGCAACAACTTGACATGCGTGTGGCGCACAACCTCGGCTTCAGAAACCAAAGGAGATACAGCGGGAAAAGACTTGGCATCACCAAAAACAAAGGAACTATCAACCTGAAGCAGCACCAAACCATAGGCAGCCAAACTAGAATTAGGAGAAAAAGACCCATCACAGCAGAGGAGTGGATCAAACAACGGGGAAGGGGTGGCATAATGGATGACACAGAAGAAACGGGACTGGATTGAAAGCAAGCAGGCACTGTGAACAAATCACTCCAAAGGCATTTGAACACGAATAACTGCCGCAGCTACGTTAACCTCTTCGACACAAAATACCTTTTGATTCCTAACTTTCCAAAAAACCTAACAAACAGTGACAACCTTGCCTAACACTTCCGGACGGTCTTGAACAGACCCAACCTGATCCAAAATCCAAGATGACCTGTGTGCCACAGACAAAAAAGTGTGCGCTTCCCACTCAACATCCAAATTCATACCAAATCTTCTTATGAAATTTTCTAATTTTTTGGTTTTATAAAATTATAAAAAAAACTTAGGTGGCATTTTATGATTTATTTTTTTTAAAATATAATATATAAGATAACGGTAATTTATATATATCTAACAACCTTAGTTATTATTTTTTTAATTTAATTTTAAGACTCTCATCTAAGCTTATTATTATCTGTTTATATTTAAATTTTACTACTCATCTCTCTTATTTAACTTAGCACGTCTCTCTAATTATTTTGCTCTCTCACCAACACCCTTGCAAGGACAATTAAAGGGAAGTAAAGTCGATGAATTCAAATACACCTTGGTAAGGATAATTAATTATATTAACAATTTTTTTAGTTTGAATGTATGAGTAACATTTTACGATAATAATAATACTAACGTATCGTAATGGTCAAATTAATATAAATTCAATAAAAGGTCCTTTTTGTGCTAGATGGTATTCACCAACCGACGATCAGAAAAAGAATCCAAAAAATGTCCAATCACCAAAATACTGCTATACTAATAGACAAGAGCTGAGCTTGTTAATAATATGTTAGAGGAGTGGTAGTTTGGACATTCAAAGGGGAACAAAATCGCCAGTTCAGGATTCAATACCCAACAACCGATAGGACAATCTCACTTACCCTGTAACTACCCACACCCTTTCCTTGCATGTGAATCACGTCACGTGCATGGCCAATGGCAAAACATAATCAGTGGGGTCCACCTAAAAACAGAAATTTTGATCTTGCCTCCAAAATCCCCAAACAAATTTTTGAAATGTATCTATTCTATGGTAACAAGAAAATAAATTATAAATCATAAATAGTTAGTTGAGTCAGTTATTTTCATAAACCATTAAAATAATTGAATTGATAAATTTTGGGTATATAAAGTTCTCATTGACTGAAAAAATATAATATCAAAAAATAACTTTATCTATCATCGTGTTAGAAATATGATAGAGTTAAAAAAATTCATCAATATCCAAGTAAAAATACAATAAAATTTGAAAGGATAGATCGATATTTATGTTGTTTTAATAAACAATAATATCACACATCTGTCATTATATATATATGCAAGGGAAAGGTTATGGTAATGTCGGCAATATCGTAACGAAAATTATAATTTTTTTAAATTTTAAATTACAATTTTAAAAGATATGATTAATTATAAAAAATTAAAATCGATACCAAAAGTCATGATTAATCAAGAATATTTATGATCGATTATAACCTTCTCTTTCTCTTGAACAACTATAACTTCTTTTCAGAATTATAGTTTTATCACAAAAAATAATAAACCACAATACTGTACCCATTTTTTTTGGGGTGCTGTAGACTTTCCCTTTATCCAAACAACGTAAATATGGATCATTCATAATTGGCTTTAAATGAGGATAGAGTTTTTTACTTCCTTTAAGGTCAAACTAGCACTCATTGACTGATGCAGCAGTTGAATTCAATTCAAATACAGAGCATGAAAGGTTCAGAAGCCAAGGGAGTTTTCACTCTGTTACTGAAGCCTCCAGTCTTGGTAATTGAAAGCACTGCACTGTGCTCTATCAACTTTGTACGCACACCCACACACCCCCAACCCATCACCTGCATACAAAAAACACCAACTCCATTGAGGTCAACACTGAATCTATAGCTTTCTACTTCCTCTGCAGTCCCAGAACAGTAGTGCAATAAAAAACATCAAACGGCACCAGCATGAGGAAGATAGTTTATATAAGGGGGGGAAAAACCCACCAAACCTACTGTACACAGAGAACTTCAAACATTGACAACCCCTTAAAGTTAGACTAAGCCCCTCCCAATGAAACCCACAAAGAAAGAACTAAAAAAAGACCACAAAATAATAAAGCTAACCCAATTCATGGAAATTCAAAACAAACACCCCCCCCCCTAACTCGAGTGGAACATCTCAAATGCTAAGAAGATCAGGTGGTGGTGATTGAGGTGGTATCTGCTTATTTTCTTTTGTTTCCTTAGGTGCTATGGTGGGAGATTCTAAAGCAGAGGCTGGTGGTGGAGGGGTGTCTGTGACATTTGAGTCTCCCTGCTTTGAGGCGGGTGGCTTGGGAAGCTCTGTCAGTATTTGCACAACCTCGCGCATTGTTGGGCGTTCCACAGCCTGTTCTTCGACACAGAGCAATGCTACATAAAAAACGTGTGTCACCCCATGGAGAGGAACTGTTGAAAGTCTTGGGTCGAGGATTTTTAGCACTCCTTCCTTGTTACCATCTGTCATCTTTCTCACCCACTGCACAATATCAACACCATCACCGAACTCGCCGACAGGTTTTCTGCCACTTACCAGTTCTAAGAGAACCACACCAAAGCTATAAACATCGCTCTTCTCATCAACTTTGAGTGTGTAGGCATATTCTGCGGAAAACAATAATTTGAGTCCAATAAATAATCAAGAAGGAATCATCATAACAGAACAAAATTGGATAATTGCTCATGATCTCCAAAACTGCTTGCTCAAATTGGGGGAAAATTATTGCTAATAGATGATTAGTATAAGTAACTTACAAACGTAAAGTTAGGCATCAAATGGATAAAGTTGCAAACATACTTTTGGGAGCAAAAATTGAATTTGCCTTTGCTTTTGAAAGTTGCACATGTACTAACGGAAACAGTACTTCAGTCGATAACCATGTTACCATACAGATGTTTGCCAATTGTATTGAATGCAAAGGACAATGAAAGAGACTGATCGTTACCAATACACTTACAAAGACAAGAACAGGAGAGTATATATCATGTTAGTGGAGCCCATGATCAATGACTCAATGCAGATAAAAAGAAAACAAATTGAAAAAAAAAATTCCTTGATTTCAACCTCTAAGGAGCACTATGAATCAAAAGTCAGTCTCTAAAATTTATGATCTTTGACAGATTAACCACATCAAAGTAAATGAGAAGAGTATCCACAGAAACACAATTTGTACTCTATCAAATACCATTTACAAGCTTGAATGGAAGTGTTATACCTGGTGCGATGTAACCGTAAGAACCAGCAATAGCAGACATGCACTCGGATGTTCCCGAATCTTGCAAGAACTTGGCAAGGCCAAAGTCAGCTACGTGAGCTTCAAAGTTCGTGTCCAGAAGGATGTTGTTGGATTTTACATCTCGATGGACAATCAAAGGTGAGCAGTCATGATGAAGATAACAAAGCCCCTTTGCAGCCTCCACAGCAATATTATACCGTGTATCCCAGTGCAAATGACCCCCTTTCTTGCCATGAAGCATTTCACCCAAACTCCCATTTGGCATATATTCATATACCAAAAGATTGGTCTCATGATTTGAACAAAACCCCAATAACCTCACAATGTGCCGGTGTCGAATTCGCCCAAGAGTCTGTATTTCTGCATTGAATCCATGGTCATGTGAAGACCCACGACTCATTGCCGGCAATCTTTTCACAGCAACATGTTCTCCATTTGGCATCAACCCCTTGTAAACAATACCAGCCCCTCCTTTCCCAATAATGTTGTCCTCCTTCAAGCTATCCAAAACATCATCACAAGTGAAGTCTAAGCGCTGGAAAGCCGTTAGCTTCCACGCTCGAGCATCACTGGCTTTCTTTAACGACCGGGCCTTAACAATCGCTGCAATTGCAAATGCAATCGAACAAACAAGCAACCCAATAACAAGTAAAAGCTTTAAACCAGATGATAACCCTTTAACATGGTTTTGTTGAGTTGCATTTGCAATTCTCTCTTTGCAAGGCCCCAAATATGGGCCACAAAGATCCGGGTTACCAAGAAACGAAGTATAATTGAAGTAACTGAATTGACCAGTGCCCGGAACTAATCCAGATAGATTGTTGTACGAAAAATCAACAGAGGTTAAGCTTTGCATAGTAGCTATTGATGTTGGAATGCTTCCAACTAAATGATTCCGTGACACATTCAAGTAATTTAATATCCTCATACCTGTGATCTCAGTTGGAATTTCACCGGACAGTTGGTTCCGACTGAGATCAACAAATGTCAGAAGCTTACACTGGCTAATCTCCCGGGCAATGAGGCCCGAAAAATTGTTGTGACTGAAATCCATCTTTGATAGTTGCTGGAGCCTCCCGATTTCCGGTGGAATGCCGCCGGAAAACGTGTTCCCGTCTAGCAAAAGTTTCTGGACACCGGAGAAGTTTCCGATACTTGGTGGTAATGCCCCTGTGAGGTGATTATTTGAAAGACTAATCTGACCAAGAGTGACTGATAACGAATCGGTCTCTGGGAATCTCCCAGATAAAAGATTGTCTTGAAGCTCAACTTGGGTAAGCTGAGGCAAGCTCAAAAGGCCCTTCGGAATCGAACCATTGAGATAGTTCTCACCCATTCGAATCCGACTCAAGGACTCGCATTTGCCAAGCGATTCCGGAATAGGACCAAACAAGAAGTTTTCGAGAGTGATGAGAGTTTCAAGCGTATTCCCAGAGCACAAATTGGGAGGAAGATTTCCTGTCAACTTGTTGGAACTCAAATCCACAATCTGAAGTCTCCCATTCGTCCCCAAACCTCGTGGAATACTTCCTGTAAAGTTGTTTTCCCAGAGTTGCAACACCTCCAGCTCCGGCAAGTCTCCGATGAAATCAGGTATCGATCCGTGAAGCTTGTTCCGGAATAGATTCAAAAGCGTCAAGTTCTTTAACTCTGCAAATGAGCTCGGTATTTCATCAGACAACATGTTGTTTGAGAGATCCATAGATTTCAAGCTCTTCAAGTAACCAAGCTCAGGAGTTAAAGGCCCGGACAGAGCATTCACTTGTAGAAAAAGGGTGTCTAGGTTTTGAAGCTTCCCAATCTCCGGTGGAATCTCACCGGTAAGTCCACAATTTGCAGCATCAAATCGAATTAGCTGAGATAAGTTTCCGATTTCTGGAGGTATTCCGCCGGAATAGCTGTTATAGTAGCCAAGGTAAAGCTGTTGAAGCGTTGAGATATTTCCGATTTCAGGAGGAATGAACCCACCAAGCTCGTTTCCGGAAATAGCAAGATACTCCAAGACGGGGAAACCACCATATTCCAGTGGAATGCGTCCGACAAAGAAGTTTCCCCCGAGGTGGAGATGACGGAGGTTGGTCATTTGGTAGACCTCGACGGGAAGGTTACCGGTCATGTTGTTATTGTAAAGGTCGATGACTTGGAGGTTTCTAAGGCGAGAGAGTTGTGGAGGAAAGCTCTCGTTGAATATGTTGTTTGAGAGGTTGAGGTAACGGAGGTTGGGTATTAGGGATATCGACGGTGGGATGGGGCCGGAGATCTGGTTGGCGGCGACTGATAGGTTGAGTAGAAAGCGGAGGTAGCCGACGTCGGAGGAGAGAGTGCCGGAGAGGTTGAGACCGGAAATGTCTAGAGAGGTCACGTGACTGTGTGCGTCGCACGTGACTCCCGACCACGTGCAGTGACTGGTGGTTATGTTCCATGAGGAGAGGGTGGCCTGGGGGTCTTCAATGGCGGATTTCAGAGATAGCAACGCCCGATATTCCGGCAAGTGGGACAGTTTTGCGGCCCAGTTGTGGTGGAGATGTAGAAGAAATATAAGGAAAGGAAGAAGGAATCGCATTTTGCTTGGTCTCTCTGTCTTCTGTGTTTTGTTCAGGCGGGAAGGAGAAAGGGGATGGTGGGAGAGAGTAGGGTGAGGTTGAGTGAGAAGAGTCGCTGCGAGGGGGGATAAAGAGGTTTGCCTTTATTCAAGTTTTCATATGTTTATGTTAAAAAGAAAAAAAACACTTTTCATATGTCGATAACTTTTCTGAGAAAAGAAGGTTAAAATACTTGGTTTTTGTGTTAAATTCGTGGAACATCCTTTTTTTTTCACCAAAAAGTTTCTTTTTTAGGAAAAATGAAATCTTTTTGGTTAATCGTCTGATCTTTATTTCTTAAGAGAAGTACACTGCACTTTTTCCCGGTACCATACTGTAATTACAAATTTTATAAATATTTGAAAATTATTTATAAAATTTTAGAGTTATTTATAAATTTTAAAAATTATTTATATTTAAAATAGATCGTAAGTAACTTTCAAAATCGTAAATGACTCCACAAAAATTGTAATTGGACCATAAAATTTGTTTTAAGATCCCAAAAGTTTTAAAGAATAATAGATAAATCTCTCATAATTTGGTCCTAAGAGATTGTCAAGATTCAAATTTAAAACATTTAAATTTACAGTTTATCCTTATTAATTCAGATATATATTCTCAATTCGACTCAATCAACCGAATATAAATAATATTTTTGATTGGTTTTAAAATTATTAAATTCTTTTTTATTAATTTGAATTTTAATATATGGACATCTGATATTATTGTGATTTGATCCAATTATATACATGTAAAAATGTAAAATAAAATTAAAGAACTATTTGATGGAATTGAGGCTAAATCAAGATGTAATTAGTTATAATTCAGGTGTCAGTAAAAAAACACAAAAAAATGGATTCATTTATGAATTATTAAAAAAAAAAAAATCTGTTACATGAGAAAATGACCAAACAGTCCTTGCGCGGCTTAGAATGCGACTTTCTAATGTTCAAAGCTTGCGAAGGGAGCATTTAATGAGAGACTTCAAAGCAAGTGTCCCTTTGGGAGTAAGAACTCGAGAAGGGCTTGAGAACCAAGGTCACTTTAGTAATTAAATAGGACATCATATCCAGCTATCATTTTAATGTTTTTTTTTTTTTGGGAGGCGGGGAGGGGGGGTAAAACTTTGGTATCATGATAACTGGCTCCGTTTGACCAAGCCACGTGGGTCAAAGCAAAAGAGTAAAGTGCTTAAGTTCAGGTTTTCAGATAAGGTGGGTTTTTTTTTGGTCAAGATAAGGTGGTTGATAAGTCGGAATATTTTAGACATTATGCATTAAAACGAATACTGAATCACTGTTTAATATTTGATAAAAAAAATTTTACTNAAGAGTAAAGTGCTTAAGTTCAGGTTTTCAGATAAGGTGGGTTTTTTTTTGGTCAAGATAAGGTGGTTGATAAGTCGGAATATTTTAGACATTATGCATTAAATCGAATACTGAATCACTGTTTAATATTTGATAAAAAAAAAATTACTGTTTAATAAAATTTAAGTATTGAATATTAAAATTTTAATACAAAAATTGTTTAGTATGTTCTAAATTTTAAGTACTGAATTTAATTAAATTGTTTGACTAATCTACTAAACCGAAGTTTAAAATTTATTACTCTTTTTTTTTCAACTTTTACCATTTCGCTTTCACCACCACCACACATACACGTACACACACCACCATCGGTGGAGTTTTGATTAGGTGGTGGTAAGCTGTTAGGGGAAGGGTGAGGAGTGAAATGGTTGGAGGTGGGGGTGGTGGGTTGATGGCAACAATGGTTATNAAATTTTAAGTACTGAATTTAATTAAATTGTTTGACTAATCTACTAAACCGAAGTTTAAAATTTATTACTCTTTTTTTTTCAACTTTTACCATTTCGCTTTCACCACCACCACACATACACGTACACACACCACCATCGGTGGAGTTTTGATTAGGTGGTGGTAAGCTGTTAGGGGAATGGTGAGGAGTGAAATGGTTGGAGGTGGGGGTGGTGGGTTGATGGCAACAATGGTTATGGTTAAGGAATTGGTGATAATGACAACGACAATGATGTTAGTCATAACAAACATTGAAGAAGGTTGTGGCAGAGATAATTCGATGGTTGTAATGAGAAGGTGGTGGTGGTGGTTATGGTTACCAGTGTTTAAATTTTTGATTAATCGTAAATTTTTATTCTATCCAATTCTATTAAACGACTAATCAAAAAAATTGGATAGGAATATAGAAGAATTTTTGATCTTTCGATTAAATCGGGTAAGAATGCAGAATAACCATTAATTTTTGTATTCCTACCCTAACCTACATGTGTTAATTTATTTATATATATAATCNTAGTCATAACAAACATTGAAGAAGGTTGTGGCAGAGATAATTCGATGGTTGTAATGGGAAGGTGGTGGTGGTGGTTATGGTAACCAGTGTTTAAATTTTTGATTAATCGTAAATTTTTATTCTATCCAATTTTATTAAACGACTAATCAAAAAAATTGGATAGGAATATAGAAGAATTTTTGGTCTTTCGATTAAATCGGGTAAGAATGCAGAATAATCATTAATTTTTGTATTCCTACCCTAATCTACCTGCATTAATTTATTTATATATATAAACTAAAAACCATAATTCTCTAATCATGTGGTTTAAACTTAAAATAATTATTATTATATTTGTGCAACAATTACGATAGATTGATGTTTATGTGTTTCTTATCATTATTTTAGGTTTTAATGTTTATGTGTTTCTTATCATTATTTTAGGTTTTAGTGTTATTGGTTTGTTAAATTGGTGCATGTTATTTAATTAAGCTGTTAAAATGATCTAAAAATTAATAATTATAAAAGTGTTCACCTGATTTCCTATCCGCTTTTCTTCCCGAATAATATGGCCGAAAGTNGAATGCAGAATAATCATTAATTTTTGTATTCCTACCCTAATCTACCTGCATTAATTTATTTATATATATAAACTAAAAACCATAATTCTCTAATCATGTGGTTTAAACTTAAAATAATTATTATTATATTTGTGCAACAATTACGATAGATTGATGTTTATGTGTTTCTTATCATTATTTTAGGTTTTAGTGTTATTGGTTTGTTAAATTGGTGCATGTTATTTAATTAAGCTGTTAAAATGATCTAAATATTAATAATTATAAAAGTGTTCACCTGATTTCCTATCCGCCTTTCTTCTCGAATAATATGGCCGAAATTCAGGTAGGAATATTACACTTGATCAGATAGGATAGGCCAAAAAAAAATTATTTCGCAAATTATCGAATAGGAAGACAGAAGACTATATTTTCTACCCGTAAGATATGATGAAAACCCCTAAATGTAGTCGGGGGCGACTGTGGTGATGATAGTAACAGTGTGGTTGGTAGGTGGTGAAAAGTTGAAAGTGGATCAAAGTATTTGAGGGCCANTTAAATTGGTGCATGTTATTTAATTAAGCTGTTAAAATGATCTAAATATTAATAATTATAAAAGTGTTCACCTGATTTCCTATCCGCCTTTCTTCTCGAATAATATGGCCGAAATTCAGGTAGGAATATTACACTTGATCAGATAGGATAGGCCAAAAAAAAATTATTTCGCAAATTATCGAATAGGAAGACAAAAGACTATATTTTCTACCCATAGGATATGATGAAAACCCCTAAATGTAGTCGGGGGCGACTGTGGTGATGACAGTAACAGTGTGGTTGGTAGGTGGTGAAAAGTTGAAAGAGGATCAAAATATTTGAGGTTAANTAGATATAGTACCAAAAAGTAAAAAAAGTCACCGTAGCGTCTCCTCACTATCTTTGGCAAATATTATTAGGGTTAGAAAAAAGTTATTAAAATCTAATTTGTTAACTTAATTTATTATATTTATTAGATTAATTATAGGTCATATCAAATATTAAAATTTTGTATTAATTTAATGATTATAATAAAATTACAACATTAAATCAATATTTATATATACACCCCCCTAGGACTATAGCTAGGAAGAAAGACATTTTTTTGAGTTATAGTTTATTATGAAAAATAATGTTACATAATTCAAAAGAAAGTTAAAAAATTATAACTTAAATATATATCACCCTTTAAACGAGTGAGTCTCATCACTTATTCAACACTCATCCAAAAAATAATATATATTTGAGTTATAATTTTTAAATTTTATTTTAGTTGTGTACTATTTTGCTATTACGAAAGTAGTGCAGTGAAAAGTGGGAGTGCGTGGGGAAAGATTCTGTGTATCCTCTGAATTTTTTTAATTTCAAAGTAGACACATTGGGCTTAGTTAAAAAGCTCCAAGCTCTATGCTCTTCCACTCCAGAAAACACGTTATATATATATATATATATACACATACCCCATTGTTTTTTTTTTTTTTTGATGTATCGAAGGCTGTTCCCATTTGTCTTGTCCCCTCACATTAGGCTTTGGACTCACCCTCTAAGGAATCCAATATAAAGACGACCTAACGTGTGTGTAATTATGATGAACTTAGAATTTTGTGATCATATTTTAATGTTTTTTATGTCATTATGGGGGCAGTACTGTTATTAAATTATAATGTTAGTGCAACCGTAACAAGTGGTCTATTTGCATTATCTACCTAAAAAGATTTAATTAGTTAAAAAGAAGCAATAATGCTATCATCTTTGCGTACGTCATTGCTAATTCTCTAGTCTAGAAGATGCAACAGCAACAGCAGCAGTACATTTCATTTTGTCATTTCTATTTGTCACTTGTATTTGTGGGAATATATTTGTACTTTTAGTTGCATAAACGATAAAAGAAAATTCTTTCAAAATTCTATTCATACCTTCAAGAATTTTAAAAATGTAATAAAAAAAAAAAAAGAGAGACAGGTTTATGAATGTGATTGTACTACTGTTGCGTTTAGATTGGAATTTAAATACAGTTCATGTTTTGTAATTCCTTAACGAACATCTGTTAAATCAATTTCGAATAACTTGTGTTTATATGATTTTTTGGGGGTATAATTCTAAGGTTCCATTGGGGTCTCATGGGAAGCTAGAAGCAGATAAACTAATCAAGTTGATTAAACTTGATTTTTTGGTTAGTAGGAAAACTTAGCTGGAGATGTATGAATTTACTTGTCCTTCTTTAACTTATTTGGTCTTAATGCAGCAACGATAAATTAACTAATATTTTAATATCATATATTCAATAGTCACACATTCAAATAAGGATTAAATGATATAAATTCTGGTGCATGCAATTAATTACTTCTTCGGTGCATCTTTAATGCGCGACTCAATCAATCTTTTTTTAATGCATTAATTATAACGTTAACATTGACACATCCTATACGTTTATGTAGCAATCTTTGTTTAATATACTGGTTATAATGTTAAACATCTTCATCAATACTTTGTTTTCTAATCAAAAGTTTGCTTACCATTTTCCTCTTTGAAAGTTCTATTATACCCCTCTTTCGGACTTCTCTTCTCTCTTCGTTGTTGCTTTCTCCTCTATTATGTATACATTATTCTACATTGTAATGGTTGATTGCTCATTATCTATATATATGTGTGTGTGTGTGTGTATAAAATAAAAATATATAGTCTTACTTACACAAAATATTATAATGATCCAGATTGTTTAGATTTGATGGCTTATATTACGACTTAAATTTTAATATTTTATCCTTTGCCCTATTCTCCCCAATTCTCTTCGCCCATTTTCCACCTCCCCTTCATCCTATTTTTGTTAATAAAAGGTCTAAAATTAGAAAAACTATTAGGTATAACCGTTACACTACGTTAGTAGTGATACGTCGTGTAACCGTCCATTAATAAATAAATAAATCTACAAGTAAATCATACAAAAATTTATAACCACCAATCATATAATACATAACCGCCTTCGTAATAGAAAATGAGTCATATTTGATTATTAGTTATTGCTTGTGCCTGAAGGCACAGAGTAATAAAAAATGATAAACAAAAAATATATTTGTATTTATATCCAAAATCAAATCACAAACATAAAAAAAAAAATAAAAGAATTTAAGTATCGATTTGTAATGGGGATGAGAGGTGGTGGGCGAGAATGGTGGTGGTAGGAGATGGAGATGGTTGTAGTGGGTGGTAATGGCCGTGGTGGTGATGGCGGCGATAGTGACGGTGGTGATGGTGGTGGGGGTAATAGTGAGGGTAGTGGCGGTGGCGGTTGGGGCGACGGTGTCGGTGGTGGTGGCGGTGGCGGTGGTGGTGGCGACAGTGGGGGTGGTAGTGGTAGAGATAGTGGTGAGGCGGTTTCAAATACTAACTTTTTTAAAAGTATTTATGATAAATAATTTTTAAAAATACTTTTAAAATATCACTCAAAACATATTCTTAGGGTCTATTTTTTCTATTAAATTTAGGGTGTTAATAGGTGTGGGGGGGGGGGGATTGCGTAGGAGATATAGTTAGGCTAATATTTGATTAATCCATTTAACGGATTTTTTTCTAATGCTATTTATATGAAGACATTTTTCATAGATATTATCTATAAATATTCATAGTTTCACAAGTACATGATACATCACTATAGTGACATGCTGTTGAACCATAATTGGGGTAGATGTTGTTTTGGTGGAACCTTTAATCCTTACTGCTAATTGCCTCCTCTAATTAAATGGAGTTTAGGACATCTTGGTCCATTCGCAACCTCCTCTTTACGAACTTAAAAGAAAAAAAAATATAAAAGATTAATTATTCAATAAAATGAAAAAAATAGGAAAAAAAAAAAATTATTAAACAACGTTAGGTCGTGTGAATCGTCGGTTGTGGTCTGGCATTGGAATCTTTGTTATTTTTGATTAAGATGTTGCAATTGTCTTTGTCTATTGGACCATGACTATTCTTTGGTGACAATGAGTTTTCAATAACATAGGTTACAAGCATAATTTACAAAAATAAGACAGACAAACTACTTGGACAGGGACTCATGAAATCATAAGCAAATAAAGTATTTTTCAACTTCTTTCGTTATTAATTTCCTAACTTAATTTACTATTTAATCTAGTATAACTTAATTTACTATTTAATCTAGTATCGGTATTAGATTTGTAGTAATCCTATTCAATGCTAAGATCCATATTACTATTTGAAAATAATAATATGCAAAGGACGGGGTTCGGGTTTGACTCGTTTTAGATTCAGCTTGAATTCGACTTATTTTCAAAATAAACTGAACTTGAATAACTTTTTAGGCTATTTAAAAAAAAAGAGCTTGACAAGTACGGCTAGAACTCGCAAAATTCGATTCGGGTATTAGTCCTATTTGCAAAAGAATTGATTTGTTTTATGTTAGTTCTAAGCATTGCTTGTGACATCTCAAAAATAGAAGGTGCACAATCCTTAATACGCCAGGATTTACAAAGGCTATGGACCTATGGCCTATCAGCCATTCTTGTGGTGCAATACATAAGACCAATAAAGGTGGTGCAATCTATAATGGAAGGGCTTGTAGGGGACCAAACTCGTTCTCTGGTTTTCGGGTCGACCACGATTGTGGGCTTGCAAATGTACTTGCCACATCATCTTCTACAGAAGAAGCTGCCAAAGAGAACCCCAAAATCAAATTGGATCCATTAAAAGGTCCAAATCACCAGTTACTGTCCATGGCCATGCCTGCCATTGCCAGTCCATCATTTCAGAATTATTGGGTGGTAGAGTTTGTATACATGTCTTGTTTGTTCAGCTAAAGAGAACTCTGCATTCTTTTTGCTGTTTCTCTTAGGCTAGCAAGCGGTTAAATGTGTGGGTACTGGACAATGTACAAGACAATTTTCCTATGATAAGTCCTTTTCAGCTTGCCTTTTTTGTAATTGATTCATACATGTTGGGTTGGCCACGGGCAAGCCCGTCCCGGGGTGGTGGTGGGAACCGGGGAAGTAAACAATTACCAAGTTCAGAGAAATACTTGATACTAATCAAATATTACTGCTCAAGAATTATGTATGTATGATGGTGAATTTCAAGTACTAGGAATCTGCATTCTGTGTTTGTGAAGCAGCAAGAAAGATAGCACCAGCTCCAGAGCCCCCGTGAGAATGCTCAATAATCACATTATCTGAAAGGTCATTCCCTAGCATCTCCCAAACACTGCTATGCAAATAGTTTCTAAAAACTCGATAGTGCTCGTAAAGACCGCCTTCTATGGTAATTACACTCTTCCTACTAGCAATTCTGCCAAGCTTCTTCACAATCCCCACTATGCCAGCTCCAGCAAGACGGGCTCCACGTTCTGCAACAATGTCACAGACCTCAGCAACTACTTCTCTTACGCTTGGAGTAGAATTGGTGATCTGGAATGTGTAAAATGTCGAGATTTTAGTTAAAAATGTCGCAATTCTAACTCTCATGCAAGAAATCAGTTTCAGTACACAATTCAACCGCTATATAAGTGCATTGTTGCTTTTCTGTCAGAAACCATATTTGGTTTTCGATTTTGGAATTTGAGATGCTAAATAAAGGGAGAGAAGATATCAACCTTGTACTAATTAAACTATAAACATGTGAAGTAATAAAAAATTACCCCAAAAATTTCCTCCAGTTTCTCATTGACCACTTCATGATCCTCTGATGTGTCTTGATGCATTGCAGCCATATCAGGTGACCTATTTGAAACATCAAAGAGGGCAAATTTATGAACTGCTCAATATGCTTGTATTTGAAGCTAAACGATCAAATGATTACAAATAGTTTGAAAATCCTGATGTAAGCTGAGGCTACACATTTGTTTATTTCCTTTGTTAAACAGATTATAAACCTCTTAATTTCATCATTGTCCCAATTTGAGAACTGTTTACACCTTCCAATTCTATTTGCTGATGATTCTATGATTTCATGCGTCAACCATTTGAAGTCATTTTCCTAAGGAATCTGTACCAGTGTTGAGAACATATGCATAGAGTTATCTCTCTGTTGCTGTTGTCCTATGAATCGAAATCTACAAGTACAATGATTCTACCTTAGAGAGTAAAGTATCCTTCCTTAACATCAAGATTAGAAACTACTACTGTTTTTCTTTTTGACGATTGCTTTTGTTTTTTTATTATCTTTTTTAAAACTAAGATTAAATCCTACTTTCCACCTCAGTAAGTATGGAGTTGCAAGTTTGGGTGGCACACACTCTCCAAATAAAGCAGTTTCCTGGGCCATCTTCAATAAGACTCTCCTCACAATCTCCCCCAGATACATCCCTGAAATCAGCTTTTCGAAGATCTGAGACAAAGCAAGATTCAGAAACAAATGCAAAAACCCCACCTATCTCAATGGACTGTCACCTGTAAGGCTGAAACATGAGTTTGTATACCTGGCTACCAGGGTTTGAGCTTTCAGCATCCAAAGAAGCATCAAACTCAGTTATTGGAAGATGAGAGGAACAGAACCTTCCCCATTGCATGTTAATGACCTGAAAAAAAAAACATGCAATTCACTGACCAATGTCTTCTAAAGTAATAATCGTGCAAATTAATACGAGCACATATACTCCATATTATATTCAAAGGGCGACGGGATTGGAGGGGAAAATCTTTTGAAATCATACTGAGAAAGCTATATATGCTTAGCTGCAACAGTTTACGCTTCAGTTCAAAGAGAAATTGTTGAAGTGTTGCATAGCAAAATTGATATCACTTGAGCCTAAGTACTCCACACAAAACAGATGTGTTTTCCAGACTCCAGACCTGACAGTTGCCTATCCTTTATTATGATCCCATCTGCGTCATTTGTTTGTATGTTCTTGTATAGATTACACGAAGTGCTCAAGGAGGTATATGAAATAGTACTAGACATTTATCTAGTCTTCTTATAGATTCTTCCCTTGCTGTTTGGCTTACTAGTTTCACAGTATAGGTCATAAACTGGTAAGAAGTCCTATAATCCTCAGGTTTTTCTGATGAGGAAACTCATTATGTTGTATATCGACGGATTACTCAATATACACTTACTAACCCAAACAAAAAATACTTGCACTAAAACAATTACTCACCATTTCTCCGGATTTGGGTGAAGTGCCATGCCACTTGGATACAGATTGTGCCGGTTCTACATAAGCAGCATTTGTGCCCATCCCCAGAGTCACTGCAGCCACACTGTCTCTGTTGTAGTACCTTCCTCCAGCCAAATCTCCAATGGTATCATCAAGCTGATTGAGCAATCACGTATAAATTATCTCAGAAACGAATTTTCCATCAAAATCTAGGAGAAATGTAATTGTGCAAAAAAAAATTATTGTTGAATACCAAAGTCAAGCAACACAACAAAAAAATCTCACACACTAAATAACTAGCTTACCAGAGTTGAAACTCGCATGTTTACCCCATGGTTCTCCAAAGCCTGATTCATATCTTTCACCAACTCTTTTCCAACCTGATTTCATGCAATTACATCACAGCAACTGGTTAAGAGTGAAATTCATTATAGGCTAGTTTTGAAGATCAAATCAGTATTCATCTAAGCATTCCACGCATCTGAGCCTACAAGCGAAGGAGTAAACTAATACATTCAACAATAATTTGTACTTTTATAAACTATTCTTGCAAAGAATAATGTACACTTACACCTCTTTTATATCATGCAATGTATAAATTTATTCACTCTCTGATATGTTTGTACATCGCACTCGTTAGCAATTTCATGTTCCGCAAAAATCAAAAGCCAACAATTAGTCAGAAACGAAAAGTGTAGCAAGTTGGGAAATGTGCTAATAGAGGCAAAAATAGGTGTAATCTTTGACAATAACTAAGATGTGTTTTTTTACAATAATACATGTAAAAAAAACCATTGCAAGAGAATTACCTTACTGAATTTAAAAAATAAACACACACATATCGCACCTGAACATATATAAACAAGTAGAATTCACTGGAATATTCAAATCTGATATGGGGATTTCTTATGCATGCCTTTGCTCTTTAATAATCATGTGAAACTAAAACTAAAAGAAGGATAAGGAACCCAACTGTTTCATCCACCGAAAAACTCTTCCAATCAATGGCCATGCCTGAGGATGTTGCAACTTGGTCCACGGGGGATAATATAGTAAACCCCAACTTTTGTTGTACTCCTTCCATATCGCAAGTAGTCACAGTATTTATTGAAATGAAATTTGCTATCTTCAACGCAATGTAATCGAATAATTCCTGGAGGTGAAATTAGATTATGTTAGCCAATCAACCTATAAGGGTACAATAGAAGCCTAATGGAAACATTATAAATGCACTAAAAGCTGCCTTAAATATGAGGCCGACCACCTAGCCAAGCTTACTACTTATAATCGTGTATAGTCGAGGTTGTGTAAAATCGAGTTTGTGTTGATCATGTCTGCCTCACATTATAACTTGAACCTATGATGGCTAAATAAATACTGACAAATGCAGTGTCGATTTTATATCAAATTGACACAACGTATTAAGTATTTGCTATCCTACACAACTAATTACCTTAAAATTGCCAGTCATCAAGTTGGTAGGAATAGAGACCTCCTCCCTATGCAATTCCGATGCCGGTTCGTCCTTCCCTCCAAGTCGTGCTCGCAAAATAAAGAAATTTGTTCCACGAAGATTCACCCCATAGTATAACCCCTTTTCATCACTGCCATCATGTATATATATATAAGAAAAGTACAATTCTCTCTTTGTGTGTGTGTGTGTGTGTGTGAGAGAGAGAGAGAGAGAGTACCCTGTAGGAAGTGAAGGGACACAATAACAGGGAAGCATGGAAAGGTCGGTTTCATTGGAAACCAGTCCTGCTTCCATATCGGACACCAAGTCATTAGCCAAATGCCAAAGCTTTGGGACAGGAGTAGCGCAGTCCCTTGCGAATTTCCGTAGAATGCGTCGAGTGTTCCTCCAGCGCCGCTCGATCCGCTGCCTCACTAGCAACCCCACCGCCACAACAGTCGCGGCGGTTGTAACTGCTGCTAACACCACCGCTTCCTTCCTCATCACCTTTTACCTGGTGTTAGAATAGGCTCAAGCCTCCACCTTCGATCTCACGGAGTCTAAGTTCATTTGTTTCGTCCATCCCAAAAGATTCCAGATAACTGAATCGCTACAGTAATGCAGAGAAGAACGAGTATCATGGTGAATCTCAGGTTTGAGACGTTTGACTGTGTTGTTATTTTATTTTATTTTTTTTTTTGTGAAAAAAAAAAGCTCACGCGTTCGAACTTGTCTGTCACCTCCCTGTAATTCAAAACTATACGGACCAAATTTTTGGTCATATTAAATTGAAAATAAATCCGATTTTTCTGTTAACGGTCAAAATATTCAAGTTAATTTATGTATATTTTAATTAATCTCTTTTTCAATTTGATCAACAATAGATTATTTATGTTAAAATTAAAATATTTATGAGAAATAAAATATTTCATCACTTAGCTCCAAAGAATTGTCAAAAAAAAAAAATCTTATTCAATACTAAGACTTAATGTATGAATTCATAACTAATTGAGTTTTTTCTTGCTCACTTAGAAAGAAATATAAATAGCTTTCCCAATATTTTGGTTTCTCAAGCAGAATTCAAGTATTATATTAAAATAAATAAAATGAAAATACATATTTTATAATTATTATTATTTCAAAAAGCTCACATTTACACCCTTAATAAATTGTTTTGACAGACTTCATCTTAGTAAGTCAAATAGGCCTATGTAATAATCTAACATTGTGTAAAAACTCCCATCTAATTTAATATTATTGTTTGGTGAGCCTAAATTATTAATCAAAGTTGGGTAATCCTTCCTCGAAATCATCGTAGACAATATTCGGGTCGAGGCCGTGTTAAGGTTGAAGATTTTATACACAGGGCTGGATTAGGATTGATCACTCAACCTGTCTAACGCACCCGAGTTGCACCCTTATCTTTCCTAACCTTTAAGAATAAAATTGAACTTTTTTTTTTATCATGATTAAATTATCGGGACTATCTATATAATAAAGTACGATACAATTCAAATCTCAAAATATAAACAAAATGACTTTTGTTATTCGCGGTGTGTTTGAGTGATTTTTTAAAAGTGTTTTTATGAATTATTTTTTATAAGTACTTTAAAAAAAAAATAGTGTTTAGAACCCTTCCACCATTACCTCTACCACCACCACCCTCATCATTCCACCACCATCACTACTACTACCACACCACCACCACAATTGCCACCATCACTATCCCCACCCTACCACATCCACCACCACCACCACTATCTCCACCGCCCCTCCACCATCATCCGCACTACCACCATTATCATCACCATCACCATCACCACCGTTATCGCACTCTACCATCATCGCCACCGTTATCGCACCTTACCACCACCGCCATTGTCCTACCATCACTCCTACCACCCCCACGACTATCACGACTACCACCGCCACCGCCATTGCCCCACTTGCACCCCTACCCCACCGCCACCACCACTATCACCACCCACCATTGATTGCTACCATTGTCACCACTCACCACCATTATCATTTTATTCTTATATTTATTACCATTACCATTATCATCTCACTATCACCGCTGCCCACTGTCAGCACTCACCATTACCATTGTTGCCCACCGTCACTCACTACTACAACCCATAACCACCTGTCGTCGTCCACCATTGCCACCAGCCACTGTCACCCTACCCCCACCACACTTACTATCACCTCTATTTGTCATCACCCACCACATTGTCAGAAGCACTAATCGTGGCCCACCACCACTATCGTCATTGCCCACCACCGCTGTTGTTGTCCCACTACCACTATTGCCAACCACCATCACCATCGTCCACTACCATCTACACCCACCACCATCATTGTCTTCACTTGCAACTGCCACTACTATCATCATCACACAAAATCAACCACCATCATCACTGTTGTCACTTACGGCTGTCACCACCACCACGATTGTCGCCATCCATCACAATTATTACTATTTTCGACTATTACCACTGTTGCCCACTACCATTAATACTGCTCACCCCCATTACAATCAATTTTTAAATTTTTTTATCTTTTTTTTATATTTGTGATTTGATTTTGGGTGTTAATATAAATATGTTTATTGTTGACTATTTTTTTTATTATTTCGTGCCTTCAGGCACGGAGAACAATTAGTAATTAAATAAATATGATAACAATTAAACTTGGTGGAATAGAGCAAACCACGTAAAAAAATAAAACAAAAAATATAGAAAATAAATGGTAATAAAAAATGATAAAAAAAACATTATCCAACGGTAAAACACATGAACCACCTACCCAAGCAAATAGACCAACAAGATTGGGTAAAAGCAGAAATTAGAGAATTGTGAGTTTGTGTCATATACTAATATTCAAATCAAAGACCTAATTCAATTTAATCGTTGAATTAACTGTGAGTTTTAATATTATATAGAATTTATTTTTAATCTAATAACTACGTTGAATTAGATCTTCAGATTAAGTTCACATAAGAATTTTATCTATCAAAATAAATGAGTAGCAAAATTTTCACTCGATTAATATCCGAATGAGCAATGCTACTTGGATTTCAAAAGTTGACACAATTTGTTAACTCTATTAATCATTATTATTGATTTAATGATGAATAATAATATTTATTAGAATTCGCTACATATTCAATAATTTTGACCAATGAAATCAACAAATAATATCTACTTTTAAAATTCAAATAGCATTTTCCTATCCAAATACAGTAGTGGACCCGTCACGACGAAACTCAATTCCAACTTCAAAAAGTGGGCTTTTGGCAGCAAACGAGAAGTCACCAAATAAATCCGGCCTTGTAGGCTTAGATTGAGCCACTTTATGGTTATTGGGCTACTTGCATAAAGTCCACCAAAAGGGATTGGGTAAGCCGAAAAAGGGCCCGACTACCATATTAAAATACCAATTTTTAATAATGTACTTGCACTTTTTATCTCATAAAACAGTGTTAATTGTATATTTTTTATTTTTAATTATTTTTACTACTTTATTACTTTTTCAATCATCGTTTAAATCGAAATTTATAATTTGATTTTTCTCGGTAGCTNTTTATTACTTTTTCAATCATCGTTTAAATCGAAATTTATTATTTGATTTTTCTCGGTAGCTCCATGGTATACTAGTCCAAACCATGAAAAGGATTGGTTCTAACATATTGGGCTCCGAATTTTTTTTTGTGTGAAAATTGGGCTAAATTCTTGTTTAAGAGACTTAAAATGAATTTACTCCACTAAAAAAAATTATTTGAGGGTAAATCTACTTTTAATCTTACAAATAAGTAGTTAAATCTACTATTTTTTTTTAAATTTCAATATACACTTTTAATGACTTAAAAACAATCTTCAACATAAAATCAATTATCTTTTATTCATACTTAATGAAGATTTTTTTTCATAAAATTTGAAATTCAAATTTAAATTTGTCATCACTACCCCCCCTCTCTCTCTCTCTCTCTTTCTCTCTCCTGTATGGTGACTTTCCTCTAGAAAACTTCACATCCGAATTGTTTCTCGACCAAATGCTTCAGTCTCACGGTTCCAGATCTTTTTCAACCTATTTTTTCCGACTCATCCTCTCCCAATAATCTCTGCTACAACAACTTCATGCAAAGTTTAATTGTTGATACTACAACCCACTAGACAACGACGATGATGATAAGGTTCAAAAGAAACATCAAAATCAAGAAAGTTATAGACATTTTTACAAAATTATGGGCCAACATATTAGGCCTAATCGACGAGTTCTCCACTCCATTGTCCAAAAATCGAATCTAAGGCTTGCAGACATTGATTTCATGTTATCGAGAAATTCTTTATTTTTCTGAATACATGTTATAGGGCTTATTTTAGATCTTAATTGGAAATTAAAAATTCGATTATTTTTTTTTGTTAGAAAGACTATGATTAATTTAATATTGAATGTTACTATATTTTTTCCATGTTACTATTTTTTTTTGTTGTGCATGTTACTACCTTTTTTCGTATTACTATTTTTTGTTGAGCATATTATTATTTTTTTTGATGATCATGTTACTATTAATATTAAATGTTACTATTTTTACGAAATATCAATATTCAATGTTTTTTTTTGTCGACCATGTTACTGTTAAGAAATATAGGATTATTTTGTTTATTAAGGGTAGAATAGTCCTTTACTTTTCATGCCTTGTTTAGCTTATATATAGTCTCATTTGTATTTAGGTCAAATTACTTCCTTGTATTTCAATTCAATTATACAGTATCAATAAAACCCTAGCCTCCTCTTTTCTTATCTCTTGTATTTCTTTAGATTGTTCAACATGGTATCAGAACAAAGTTTCATGGGACAAGGCTTAATCTCAAACACAGTTTATGCGAAAAGGTATTTGTTCCGTTTAAGCAATCTGGTATTTGTTCCGTTTTTTGTAATCTGGTATTTGTTCCATTTTTACAATCTGGTATTTGTTCCGTTTTTACAATCTGATATTTATTCTGTTTTTTGCAATCTGGTTTTCTTTGTTTGTTGATTATGACTACTGCAAGAGACGATTCGCTTCAGTTTGTGAGTGTGATATTGGATGGAAAGAATTATTCGTATTGGAGTTATGTGATGATAAATTTTCTTAAGGGTAAAAAGCTATGGGGATATGTTAGTGGAACTTCTGTAAAACCTAAAAATATTAATGCAGGTTATGCTGATTTGATAGATGTCTGGGAAGCAGACAATACAAAAATTATTACTTGGATCAACAATTCTGTTGAGCATTCTATAGGTACGCAGCTGACAAAGTATGAGACAGCAAAAAAGGTTTGAGATCATCTGCAAAGGTTATTCACTCAATCAAATTTTGCAAAACAGTATCAATTGGAGCATGACATATGAGCTCTTCAGCAGAAGAATATGAATATTCAGGAGTTTTATTCTGTTATGACAGATCTTTGGGATCAATTGGCTCTTACAGAATCGACTGAATTAAAGGCATGTGGTGC